AGGAAGCATGAGGCCTGAGTCAGAGCACACAGAAGGTGAGTGAAAAGGGATAGGAGGTTTCAGGCTTACCCCAAACTTGCACTCAGCTGGGGAGAGCACACTGGTGACTTCTGGGAGCTCTGAATCAGCCTTATTGACTTTAATATATGTAAATCAAGTCCAATATTGAAGTCTGTAGTTATTGCAGTAATGTGACATCTTGTGTTAAGAGCTCCCCAAGCACAGATTACAGAGCTTACTTCTAAGGTGAGCAGGCTCTTCAGGTTAGAACATCAGTTTTCCATTCCCCTGAGATCAGTGACACACCAGGCACGACTGTGTTATCACGGCACAAACAACCTGCACTTCCCATTTGCTGGGGTCTCCAAATTTACATCATGTCTCCTCCTACCTAGTACTTTTATTTGCTAAATAGCTGCATCTGTGCTTCCAACAGCAAATTTGGCTGAGCTCAGTAAATTTGGCTCTCTGAATCCAGAGCAGCCAAATTATCTAGCAGTAGCAATTTCCATGCAGGTGCACCTTTTGTTCTACTTACCCTGCATTAGCTGTTGTTGTCTGTTTGGTGCTCTGTTCTAGGAGAAAGAGCACAGTGCAGAGATTGTGTGATTGAGCTTTCTCCTTTACTTGCTGTGCCCCTTGCAATGAAAACCACCCCTAGAAGGGGGTAAACCCAATTAATGGGTCAGCAGGGACACCTGCCCAGCTTAATTTTCACTGGCTCTAAGATAAGCCCAAGAAGTGCTTTCACAAAATCCCAAACTCTTCATTGCTGTTACCCGAGGAGGTGAAGAGCAGCCTGATGGGCCCCTTTGCTAAAAGGATGTTTGCTGTTCAGTAGCTGAGATGAAGGACATAGGGAAGGGCTTGTTGGACTGAGGAATATGATCTCCCATACCAAATGAAAGTGCTGGGTCTAGGCTCAATGAAGTGAAGGGGTTTTACCACAGTTTCAAGAACAGCTGTTTCTTTAATGTCCTGATATTCAAAATTGGTTTCGAAGTCTGCTCATTCTTATCTCATTTGCTTTGGTGTTCTAATTTTCAAGTTTTCTCCTTCAAGAAACAGCCTATTAGATGTTTTAAGATCATACTGATAAATGCCAATTTTGTTTTCTTGTGATTATCATCAGCTGTATTCTCCAGTTGCTTTGCCTACATGAAAAAAAGGAAGATAACCTGCTTATCCAAGGGGGCTGAGAGATTGGTAGGCCTAATGATTGCCTCCCTATTGTAACCCTTAAAATGTGTCAAGACAATTGAATCTAGTGATTTGTCTAGAATTATAGTTAATTATCTTGCTAAAATATACTAATCACTCCAGTTTGTAACAATTCAATAAAAAAAAAATTGTATCTTAAATTTTTCATCCTACAGTGTTTAAAAATTTAAAAATACAACTTAATTTCTAATACTTTAAATAAAATTTCAAAGGAGAATTAAGCCATTTTGCTAGTTCAGCTGTTTGCACTCCAGCCCCTCACACTGTTTAATAGTGCAACTGTGAGCACTTCAAGGGGCAACTCAGCTGCATCTCTGGCTCAAGAAAAGCCTGACTGAGGCTGCCTGTGGTTTACACTCACTACCTCCAAAAGTTGTGTCTGTGTTGGACTGGAAATCATCTTAGTTAAAAGAGAGAACACCAAACAGCAACGTGTGGAGTGGGTGCAATAACCTTTGTTCCCTGAGTCGAAAGCAGAGGGGAGGATGGCCCAGGGCCCAGAGCCAATTCCCAGCTGGCACTGGGCTGGTGGCCCCGGGCTGGTGGCACCGAGGCCGCTCATTCCCTGGCACACACTCAGCACTGCAGATTCCTGATGGCATTTACATGGTGTCTTTTGCTTCCTCAGTAGCTCTTTTCCAGGCTGGGAAGCACTGGCACCCTTTCACCTTCAGGTGTGGTGACCTAAAGAAGTTGGTTATTTTCCAAAGGCAGGGAATGGCTGGAGTGGGGAGGCTGCAGCTCAGGAGGAGGGAAGCAGCTGCAGGAAGCTGGGAGTGAACGGGCCGGGTCACACACAACCAGCTGCTAATTCCTAGGCCAGCTCAAGAGTCAGCTGAGGCAAAAGGTGCCAAGCAAAATCTAAGTTCTGGCTGAAGGGTATTAATAACCATGGAGACAATTGCCCAATGTTTTGTGTGGGGAATTCAGCTCCACCTCTTCTGGCTCTTTGTACCTTAAGGATTGCCACAAACAGAAGTCAATGCTTGGAGGACCCTGTCCTCACCAAAGCCTATGGGAGTTGCAGGTGATCAGCAGCACTGCCACCTTCACACAGTTGAAAAGCCTCCTCAGTGTCAAATTGTAAAGTAGCTGTTTCTACTTTAAACAAAAAATCTTGCCTGCTTTCGAACCACAGCTGTTCTGTGTGAAAGGTATCACCTTTCTCACCAGCCTTCACACTTCCTCATAATGCGCTCCTGTCCAGTTTCTAGCCCCAGGGTCCTTCTTCAGGGGAGAAGCAGACATTGGAGCCCTAACTTCTTTCTGGCCCTGCAGAGACTGCTGATCACTCCTGCAAGCAGGAGCACTGCCCATCTCCCCACCCAGCCATACTCTCTCCTTGGCTTGTGGCGCTTGGTATCTGTGGGATCCACGAACTGCAGAACCTCCAACCACAGCCCCCTGCTCTCAAGGCAGGCCCCTGGAGCATAAACACCCCAGACAGAGACTGAAAGTGTCAGCACAGCTGTGTGTGGCATGGCCAAGGAAAGCACAGGAACACCAGACACCTCCAGCCACGCCAGCCCCGCAGCAGCAAAGCCATGTCTGTGCCACAGGCACGGGGAAGCAGCCGCCCCTGCAGCCGGACAGCCTGGACAGAGGGGAGCAGGGCACAGGGGCCTGCTCACACCCCAGTCAGCTCCTCAAGAAGAGGAAGGAAAGGATTCTGCAACTTCAGCAGAGCATGAACTTCTGAGGGTGTTTTATGATGCTGTCTCACCTTGTTTCATACGTGCAAATTTCAGTCCTGTCACAGAGCGTGGCGCTCATGGACTTTTCATACACAAATTAACCCATAAAAATTACTGCAGAGTTGAGTTCAGTCCTTTGACCTGTTTGCATAACCAAAAAATTCGTCTGAACTTTTTGCTCATTCACAAATGAATTAATAAGAAAATCACAGAAGATGAAATTTAAAATACACATCTGAGTATTTGCCATCTTACTTCCATGTAAAACTTTTAAAGTTCTAAGTGCTATGATCTCACATTAAGAAATACTTGCTCCTTTTAGAATTGTAAGAACAAAAAGATTGTTTTCTTAATAACCAAAAATTCACCGAATCAAGAATTTGGGTATTGTCATCCAAAAGTATGACCCTAGTATTTCACACCTGACTTCTACACAGAAACCAAAGTCTGCTACACGAATGGTATAGGCATGTTAATGAAAAGCCATTTTACACAACTCTTCAAATAACAATATTTAATCATTTTCACAGCAAAATCACTTTTTTCCTCACCAGTGTTTTCTGAATTTCTTTAAATATAAAACCAAACACTTTTAAAAGCAGCAGTTTATATCCACATGTTTAATTATTCTTTAGAAAGGGAAAATCCATGTCTTATGTGAAATACTTTGTATTATTATAATGAAATGCAGCAAGAAGAACTTGTATTTCTACAGTGTCCTCTTCCAGAAAAACCAACTTGCAAAGCAAAGCATTTTCACAAATACTCATTTAACCATCTTCTACAAAACATGGTTTTTCAGACTTCTGAGATTTGTTAAATGACAAGTTATCATCTCAACAGGAAGGAAAAAAAAAGAATGTAATTTTTTTTTTCTTTTGGAATCTAGTTCCAAATTCAGACTTTCATTTTCAAAAGATGGAACACTTCTGAGATGTCTGATATATTTCTGAGGCACAGCTCAGGAATCAATACTTTATTTACCACAGATAGAGTAGCTGATCTCTTTCCAGGGAATTAGGAATCCAGAGCAGTTAATTCCTGGATAAATATGGCAAATGTATAACTACATACCCAAACAGAATTCTTGTCCCTTATCCCTTAATTTTCTTCTGTTCTCCTAACTCTGCTACTAACTTTACAAAAATCATGGAAGTAATGTAGAAATCCTTATTGCTGGAAAGCTATGGCAGAACTCTCATTCTTTGTATAAAAATATTTTAATGTAGATATTTAGAAATGTTACATAGGAGCATTTCAGTGATAAAATATTTTATCTGAGCATCTGAGCAATGTATTGAGCATTGAGCAATGTATTGTGCAATGTATTGTGAGCAAATACATTGAGCAATGTATTGTGACTTAAAAAAAAATTCTCAAGTTTCACTACCCAATCTTTAAATCTCAGACACCACTGTTACAAAGGAAGCAGATGCTCTGGAAGAAAAAATCATCCCAACAGTAAGGTTCTGTACTGCCAGTTGAGACCTGTAAAGCCAGATTCGGGTATGGCGGACTGTGTATTTTATATATTTGTTCATATCAAAAAGATTATGGGAACTCTCCCCACATATGTGATTGTGACCAGCCAACTGCACACTACATCTCACCCAGCTCCTGGCAGGCAGGGGGGTTCATGTTGATATAGAGTGTGCTGCTGGAGCCAGCTCTAGCATTTGATGGGATGACAAGTAGATCCTTTGTGTGTGGGGTTTTGTTACTTGGAAGTATCACCGGCATCACTTACCCACTCACTCCATGCAATGTAAAAATATCTGTTATTTAAACACTTTATAAACTTAACAGAGGTTGCTGACAAGATATGAGATACTCTGTGGTTAGTTAACACATGAAACCACAACCAGGAAAATGTGAAATTTTGAAAGAAGGAAAGCAAACAGAGAAACTGAGTAAGCATCTGATTCAACAAAATGTTGAGAAGACAGTCCTGCTGCAAAAGTAGGACTATTAAATGTATCAGTCTGTAAGTGTACAATATTATATAGCAAACAATACCAAGTCAACAGCAAATGAAACACTGTCACACGACAGAAAACCTTGTGCATGAAATAATACAACTTTTTATTCATGTTTTATAGATTACTTTTATTTATTTTTGCTTTAATAATGCATATTCTGTTCACTCTGTGCAAAATTGGGGACAGAGGTCGGTGTTTAAATCATCTAATGAAAATCAAGCGGAGATGAACATTCAGGTTGAGGGAGAGGCCTATCCAAACCAGGAAAGCTAAAAAGCCACAGCTGCTGAGGACAGAGCTGCTCTCAGCTGTGCCCTTTTGTTCTGCCAGCTGGCACAAACACGCTCTCCTGACCGAGCAGCTGAGCCCTGGGGAGGTGACCTCCGCCGGACACCGGGGACAGGAGGACACCGGGGACAGGAGTCGTCGTGGTAGCTACATAGGGAGACCTGGCCTCAACCGGCTCCAGTCAGTGTGTGGCAAAGAAAGGCACAAATCATTGCAAAGACCAGACTTCTGTTGGTTTGTTTCCTTTGTGTAAATACATTACTGTACACAATGTAAGTTTAAGTTGTAGGGGATTTGGGGACAAAAAATTGCATATTTAACAAAACTTAAAACCATAATGAAAAGTAGACTGTTCAATCTCAAAGCAAAAATAATCCCTTCAGCCCCAACATTAACATTCATTCCTGGCTATATGAAGTACAAACATCTTAAAATCTGTGACAAAAGACAATTAAAAACCAAAAGTCAAAATCATAAAGCTTGTAAACAGATAATCTGAAATACACTTTATTTATGGAAAAATATCATCAAAATAGTACCACTATGGACTAAACTGCCTGAGTTTTCATTTCACCTAGGATCTTGAAGTAGAGAGCCTTTAGCACAAGAAGATCAATTTCAGTCACAACTAGTGCCGTACAGCACGGCTTTGGGTAGAAATTTTGTTCTCGTTGGTATTTTTGTTGTGCTATCAAAAACTGTTGTGCTAATCCTTCAAACAAAGGGATGTTGAGGCAATTCATAAATCATTTGGCACAAAGTTATTTTGGCTGGGGCATAAATTTGAGTCTCAGTCATGAAGAATAATGCAACATTCCACCTATCAAGTATTCACTTTGATTGAAGAGCTTTCTTTATGTCATTAACTTCCATCTAAAAACAAACAGAGGAAAAAGTATTTGATTATATTATATGCTTTAGCAAACTGAAGCACAGTTGGTGCCACTTGAAAAGCATGTTCCTTCTTGCCAATAGGTGTCAGCTGTTATACCACTATATGCCAGGCGTTATACCACTCTTATATCCACAGATTTCGCAAATTGAGGTGCTACTCCACTGTATAAGATGACCATTCACAGCCTCCTCCCTCAGATCATGACAAGTACAGTCACTGAATGTACTGCAAGACCTTTCAATCTCTTTATTGCAAGCCACACAGCTCACTGCCCAGCATTACTGCAGAACGAGCATCATGTCCATGCACCAGCAGCTGCACTTACAGCCAGCATGGTGTTGCCTTCTACAACCATCAAGCCTGTGCCCAGGCATCTTAAGGGCTTTGAAGGATGTACAGGCATGCTTAAAAGGATGTGGCTGAAACCATCAGCAGCCCCAGTTGTATACTTGGTCCCTCTGACAGACACTGGAAGCCCTAAAGCAGGGGTCCTGGATTTATTCAAACCCATCTGTTTCAACCTCTGTTCAACTGCACCATCATTGAGGCGGTCTTTAATACTTGGACTGAGACCTGTGCTACTGCATGTCTATCAGAGCACTCTGAAACTAATGATACCTTTTTCTGTTAACTCTTATCTTCATATAAAGCTAATAATGCCATCTTATCTAGCATCTAAATAATTACCAGTATAAGCAATATTTGAACTGGAGTAAAAGCATTCAGCTATAAGATCATAATTTTAAACTCATCAGTGCAGGTCTCTGCATAAAGATGTAAAGTTATATCTGGATAATTCTGAATAGTCTGGCCTGTTAGATGAAATCAACAGTGGCTATTAATAATGTTCACTGGATTTTATCTGAATAAATTTTGGTTTAAGCTGAACAAGAATTGTATATTATTAGAAGCCATATTGCTATGTGGTTGGATACATAAAGCCCTTTAGGCAGCCCTGGAGCACAGACATTGAGGATCCCCAGTTCTGTCACCCTTACCATATTCCCAAGTATTTACAAAGAGGGAACAGTCCAGTGAAATTACAATTCAATTCTCTATCCCTAGTTTGAAGTACAGTTGCCCTATACCATAAAAATATAAAATATAATCAATACCAAACCACTTGTCAAGTATATGGAATAGAAGAGTACACCACAGCATAGATTAGAATGGAATAATTTTGGTTGGAAGGGGCCTATTAATGACCCTTTAGTCCATCTACCTGACCAAGTTAAAGCATGCTGTTAAGGGCATTGTTTAAATCCCTCTCCAAACCCCCAAAATGCAGGGGGCTAAATCAAACCTGACAACACATCCCCAACATTAAACATAATTTAAGTACCTGCAATCGTAGACGGATCTTCTTCTCTTCATCCAACTCAGAGAGCAACTGTTTAATCTCTTTTCTGTTAAAAGAATGCAAAAGAAGCTTGGGATGGAAATGACCAAACTAGTAAAATACAAAAGATTATCTCTTGAAGACATATTTACCCCACTTCACTAGTTTTTTTTTTTTCCTCTGAACATCAAATTGAAGGCAGCATACTCTTGTATACTCTAGGCTATAGTAGAGAGAAGTGAAACTCACTATGGGACAGTACCCGCCCCATCCCACATGGCTAATGACTAATGCCTCCTTAACAACCCTGCATCCACAGGCTTTACTCTGGCCTAGCTGTATCAACACTGTATCAGCAACCAGTTGCCTTTTTCCATATAAAATGTAGATATATTGACTGTTGGTGGGTTACAGGAGCTGGTAGCACAAATCCTGCTCATCCTATCACATACTTAAGCCACTTAAAAGCTGTTTATGCCAGCAATACAATGCAACCTTCAACTTCATTTATAAGACTTAACGATCCCAAATATGGATTTTTTTGTCATTCTTCTTTGTTGGGAAAGGGAACATAGCTATAAGGAGCAGGCACGTTCTCATGTTCCCACTGAGTGATCTCACCTTAGGACAGATACCAGTAGGTGGAAGCTGCCCTTGCAAGAAGGGCCGGGGAGACCAGAGGAGCAGGGTCAGCCTAAGAGGCGAGGCCGTGGGGCTTGCTGGCTACATCCAGCTTGAACCATGCCCTCCCGCATCTTCTCCCAAACTCCGCACACCTCTGTTCCGCCACAGGCTCTGCACGCTGCTTGCCCTTTTCTTTTTCCTGCCTGGGCTACACACAACTGACAATGTAAGTGAAGGTTTAGCTTCCAAAGCATTCAATAGTCTCAGGAACATCAAAAGTTACATGCCAGCCCCAGTTTTCTCCTAAGAAATGAGCAACTTAAAAAAAAAAAAAAAAAAGGTGTCCAAAACTAAAGTAGTAAGATTCAAGGCCATAAACACAAAGGCCTTCAGATGACCTGGTCATAATTCGAGTAACATGAGCTTCCTGGGAAAATGTGCTAACAGTCAAATAAAAAATTAATTTAACAACTTTAGGAGCTTGTAGGAATTTGTACTACAACTATAAGAAATGCACTCCTTTTTTATGATCAATGCACATGAGTTTCCAGATCATTATTGACAAATAAACCAAAATTCACTGCTTATAGCTTGCAAGTTAACTTTTTTAACACCCCGTAAACATCTACTTGCATCATAACACAGGAAAAAAAAAGCTGGTGGATAGTGCAGATCTTTTTTGCGGAGGTTCTCACCCCTGAATATGTTCTGTCACATGAAAATCACTCACAAACACATATGCCAGCTGTGCAGAGTAACATCCATGAAGGCAAACTCAATCAGAAACTGCCACCACTATGCACGAACAGATCCATCCCACCCACAGCTGTGATTTGCAGTACTTACTTTTGCTGGTCTTTCATGGTTTCAATGATGGTTCTTAGCTCCCTAATTTGTGTTCTCAGCTCTTCCAGGGCAGTCTGACCTTGGCTCAAGTGCTCAGTCTTTGGCTTTCCTTCAGTACCAAACAGGGATGGGGAATTTGACCTGTGGCCTGTTGTTCCCATAGCAATTGAGTGAAATCCAGGTGATGGTGAAGGGGATAGTGATGGTTGTACATTACTGCCACTAGCCAGACCTCCTGGTTTTGGAGGCAAGGAAGTTTTGTTATCAGACACCTGCAACAAAAAGAATAACATTTAATGTCTGCAGAAAGCTTTATGAAAACCAAACCTCTAACCAATGCTAAATATTTAGCCGCTCTTCAGTAATACTGAAATTTCAACAGTCAAACATGGACGGTCTTGGCAAAAGCATGATAAATATAGTGATTAGTCATCATCTTTGTATGTGTGCTTCAGAGGGGGTCTAGTTGTGATGCAAAAGTTCACAGCATTTCCAAGATCTCAGACCTAGCAGTGAATTAAACCAGGGACAGATGCTCAGTGTTTCTCTCAGATGTTTGTGAGAACATGTCTATACCCATGGATGTCTCCCACAGAGCACAAAACCACGTGAATCCAAGTTGTATTTTTTTGTAAATTAAATTTATAATTTCCCACCAACTATTGAAGGAATCTTCCAAGATTTTTCAAAAATTAAAAAATGTATTACAGGTTCCCCCTAGCATTATGAAAATAGAAAAATATTAATTAGATTTTCTTGTTGGTATGATATATATATAGAAAAAAATCTCATGGCTTCAATATGATATTAATAATAAATAAATGTAGTCTACTGTTCTCTATTAATCAAAGCTTCCATGAATCCCCATAACTGCCAATAGCTCTTTATTCCTCCAGGAACTTGACAGAAAAACACACCATTAACCTATAACCCTGGAATCATGTGGTTAGCTAAATAGGATTCCATGCTTCTTAACTGTGATCCAGTGCTCTACTTGTTAGACAAGCTTCTATTTATATATGCTACATAATGTAATATGTGTATATAATGTAATATAGTGTAATATAAAATTTTATACTTATTAGACAATTAGAAAATCTGCAGTTGACCAACCATACATGACCATCTACTTCACTGCATACAGAGAACAGTGTACAGGTACAGTGATCACAATGGCAAGTAAGGGGAATCTTTGCACTGTTATTTGGCAGCGCTGTGTGTGCATTACATGACAGCTACCAGGCATGTTTGAAAATCTAATTTGGACAAGAGTAAGAAAAAGCTCTAGGCAACCTTCCAACTCTCTTTGAAAAAGAGATATTGAAGTTGAATGGTAAATAGGGCAAAATACTGAAAATAAATGGTATGGAAATGGAAGGAGACACTGTAAGTGAGGACTTGGAGATTGGCAGGGTGGCATTAGCTGAACAGAGTAATTGAGAGAAAAGTTAGTGATGAGATGAAAATCAGGAAAAATTATGATGGGGAGAGAAGAGCAGGATCCACCAAGCTGTGCAAAAAACAGTATTCCCTACTATACTGTTGGAATGTTAGGTCATATAACCATGACTGAGCACAAAACCTGATCTGGAAAACACTCAATTCAAGAAGTGTTCTGCACAAAAACCAAGTCTGACCATAAATATTAAAAAAAAATGGTATTATAATCACAAGAAAGTTGAATCACTCTTGTGCCTTGAAAACTTGACTCAATTACCTGAATAGTATTCTTTCAACATTTTATCAATTAGTTTTTGCATCTGGGTTGGAAGGTCACCTAGTTCCAATCTCCCTGCCATGGAAAGGGGTACCTTTCACTAGCCCAGGCTGCTCCATGCCCCATCCAGCCTGGTCTTAAACATTTCCAGAGATAGTGCATACACAACTTCTCTGTTTTGGCACCCATTCCAGTGCCTTGTCACCCTCACAGTAAAGAATTTTTTCCCTAATATCTAATCTAAACCTACCCTGTTTCAGTTTGAAACCATTCCATCATCCTTTCCTATCACTCCATGTTCTTGTAAACAGTCCCTCTCCATCTTTCTTGTCAGCTCACTTCAGGTACTGGAAGGCCACAATTAGGTCACCTCAAAGCCTCCTGTTTTCCAAGGCAAACAAACCCAGTTCTCTCAGCCTTTTCTTGCAGGAGAGGTGCTCCATCCCTCTGATCATCTCAGTGGCCTCCTCTGGACTTGCTCCAACAGGTCCATGTCCTTCCTGTGCTGGAGACCCCAGAGCTGGATGTAGAATTCCAGATGGGGTCTCATCAGAGCAGAGTAGGGTGTGAGTAATATGTACCTATAAATAGATCTTTCATGGACAGTAACCCCATATATCAGTAGGTACAAGTTTCCTTTGGACTGAAAAGAAATTTCAGGCTGAGTTCAAACCTGGAGCAGGCAAGCAAGGCACAGCTGGAGTCATTGATCTGAGCATCTTATTCCAGAGCTTAACTGGCTATCAACATTAAAGCCTCAAGTAGCTGCTTTCTAATAGCAGCCATCTCATTTTACAGGAACAACATCTACAGCACTGTCATATAACTCAGAAATATTGGCCCAGCAGCATTCCTTGGTGCAAGTGCTCCCAGAAGAGGGAGCTACACAGCAAAACATTATCCTTATAACTTGATCACAGAAGTGCATGACTTCATCTTTCAAATACTTGTTAAACTATTAGAATGTAATATTTTTATTATTAAAGGTATCCTTATGTTCTCAAAAAGAGTTCCAACCTTTAAAGCCTGACCTACACACTCCTTTTGTAATATTGATTCCACTATAGGAGTCTACCAATATACAGTAAGAATGGCCTATAAAATGAATAAAATTTTATCAGTATAAAAAGTGATTATATTTGCAAATTTAAATTCACATACTATTAGAGTGTGTCAAAGAGTTGTATTTTCTCTGCTCACGGACTCTTCTAATGTAAACTCAATTTAAAGTTGCAAAAAGACAGGATCTTTGTTTCTAAAATATATTTCCCAGCCTCTCTGATTCTGTAAAATCCATTTACACAAGAATGACTTTTTTCACAGTATGGGTATTTGACACATTTTAACTGTTCAATTCACTTTAAACTTGCCTTTGAAGCACAGAACAATCTTTAGTAACCTTTATAATTTTAAGCTTCTTTAGGTGGGCAGTTACCAGGTGACTGATGAATTAAATTTTAAATATCTCAGTATTGCTTTGAAAAAAGAAGATGCATGTGATAAGGCTCAGCAGAGGCATTCCAATTAACTTACTTGTGATATTGTAACAGTTCTTGATTTCCTTGACACGTCAAGAGTTTTGTGAGTAATGGAAACATGTTCTTCCTTCTCATCTTCAGGACTTGGTGAGTCAAAGAAATCAGGGCTCGAAAGGGATGACTATATAGACAAACAGACACCAAAAAAGAAGAAAAAGAAAAGCACAGATATTTTCACTGTACAAGAACTTTTTAAGCTATCATTTTCAAAGTAACAATACTTAAAATCAGGACTCTTTGTCCCCGTACTCCCCCTTTTTTGCATCTTATTTTCAAAGCTAGACTGCTTTCAAAGCATTCAAGAAATAAGGTATGTTTAAGAGTTGAATTCAACATTAATTGACAACTTTGCTCTGCATGACATCACAAGAAGAAAGCAGCATCCTGTCCCAGCGTCCTGTCTCGGACTGCTGTGCCAGCGCTGTCACCGGGGCAGCTCTGCCGTGGCTCTGCTCAGAGCAGCTCTCACCCTGCTGCTCTCCAGAGGCCCCAGCCACTGCCAGTGCACGGTGCTGGCACTGCAGGGCTGCCTTGTGCATGGCTTCTTGGTAAAGGCACAAAAAGAGAAGGTCCTTTCCACCCCCTGATCCTTTCCTCATAGATGTGACAGGGGAAGGAGAACCTCTACACTGCTCTTTTATATTTCTATACTTAGGACAGCAGTAAATTTTGAAACCATTCTCTATTTTGAGTTCTATTAGTTAATCCTTTTAGCTTTTTGAGTTTTATTAGTTCTATTAGTTAATCCTTTTTGCTTCCTTCCACTTTGTTTTTCTTCAGCAACACAGACCCAGGTAACCATAGTTGCTCTCATTCGGATATTCCAGAGTGCAAAAAGCATGGAAACAAACAAACCCCAAAAAACCCCAGAGAAGAAGGCATTGAAAAACTAAGCAGTGGGTTTCCAAAGTATTGTTTATAAGACCAAAATAAAGACCAAAACTATCTTGTCTAATGATAGATATTAGAGAGTGAAGTTTAAATCATCCTTGTATTTACAACTGTGACCTTCATAAGAAGAAACACATGATAGCCCAAGGAGGGCTGTTGAACACTGAATGTTCTATTTGTCTTCAAAATCTGGTAAATGTCTGCAAGAAACCAAGAGAAATGCTTCTTTTGGGAAACATTTTCAAAATCCTCAATACTTCGCACAAATTAGTCTATTCCAAAGACTTTTATTAAGGGATTCTTCTAGGCTCAGTCATGGCTGGCAAGGAACACCTGGCAGCACCCAAATAAGGGGGTATAAACCTTAGAAGGAAGGGAATGTTTTAAACATCAGTATTTGAAACACTGGCAGCCTTTTGACAGGAATTTTCTTGATCTGCATCTCTCTGCCTCACTGTACGTGTGAAGGAATGGCTGGGTAAAAGTAGTAAAAGCACCAAGGAACACAAGTAGGAGGGGGAGAAATTCAGAAAAAAATATTTTTAAAAATAGTTTTTAAAGAAAAGGAAAATTAACTTACAGATGTGAGAGACTGGGAGGGTGGTCGCCTGCCAGTAGCTTTTGGTCTGGTTGTAGTTGGATGATTAAGCTTCTCAGCAATTGGTATTACAGAATCAAAACCTTCCAAGTCTTAAAAATAAAATAGAATTGATTTGGTTTTCTGGCAATTGTCTTCAAAGGGAAAGAATCACATTTTTTTCTAATTTCAAAGAAATGAAATCCCATTTTCCCCACTGTGTCACAGTGTTCTGCACATATTTAGCCACCATGATGGCACTAAAAAAACCTGGAAGTCAGAGGCAGCTGTAATCCAGTCACCCTTGCCAAAAACAATTACCCTTCCATCTCAAACACAATAAAGCAGAGGGGGAATGTGTAGAGGAGCCTTTGGCTTTGTTTTCAGCATAGTGAAAGCTAAATGACATCATGGGTTCTATAGCATGGAATAAACAGTTTCAAAATTTCCATCTGGCTACTGAAGGGGTTAGTAATTTTTTTTTCCCGAATAACTGGAGACATAAGACTGTGCACACACTGTCTCAGGAACTGTACTGTCAGCTCTGCATTGCAGTAATTGCTCAGGAGAATGCAGAATGAGAATGATCAAGCTGGAAGTGATCTGCAGGTTCCTGGACACCTGCAGCTGGAGGCACCATGGTCTCCAGTAACTGCAGGTGAGAGGACTATCTCCCTCCAGTAGTCCAGAGGCTATGGTAAGTAAAAGCTCTAACAGGCTCCTGAAGCTGTACAGAGTCCAGGGAAAGCAGGTCTGCTTGAATGCTGCACCAACCATCTCCATGGCCAGTGAAAAGCTCTGGGGAAGTGTTTACTGAATCCAGCCACAGCGTAACATGTTTACGTGAAAGAACGATGCGGAGGCTCAAGGAATACCACAGCTCATGATTACATGGATAAATCAAATGGCTTAATACCATTCATCTATTTTTATGGGTTGTATCAGTTTCACTCACCTTCATTTCAAAATGCCCTACAGCATATGTTGAGCAGGAAGGAGTCAGAAAACACACAAGAGGTACTTTAGACAAGATAAATCAAAATTCTTCAAAATTACTTTCAGATATGAATCAAATACAGGAATGATATTCATTATTCAGAGACTATTTTTCATTGCACATATGCAGGAAAAAATAGCTTTTAAGTTAATAGTTCCTTATACTAGGCACTTAATTATCCAAACTATTACAGAACAATAAATCTCTGAAGATCCAGTTTTGTTGACATATTACAACCAACCACTGTACAAAATTACACAACAGAAAACCAAATTAATTAATGGGCCCATGAAATAAACTACATGCACTGCAATGAAGGACATTTAAATTGATTCCAAGTACTCATGATTTGTCAGCTAGAAAGTAAATAGGATTGTAGCTTCCTTATTCAGCAATATCCTTCCATCTCCAAGAGAAAAAAAAAAAAAAAAGGCAGGAAAAAAAAGAGAGCTCTTTCAATAGCCCTGAAATAGTCTAAGGTTATTCACCTCCAAATACTACTCTATTTTTGGAGTGACTCTTCCTATATATAACCAGTGACCCCACTGTCCTCTACCATGTGTTTTTGTCATTGCTCTTTCTATTGACTGTTGCAGCCTGTGTGCAAAGGTAGGTCACCCACCCAGTCTGCCAGTGGGATTTTGGCCATCTGAAGCCTCAATTGTACCAAATATGTCAGGTGAGGCCACAGTACTTTGAAAGTTAAAATGAACTAATTTTAGCAGATTGCACAAAACCTATGTGGAGTCTACAGAACTTGAGGGTTTCAGGAGAGCAGAAGCAGAAGGAAAAATTTCTTTTCTGGGAAAAAAAATACCAAGCAAGTGTAAGAGCTGGTTTCTATTAATATCCAGTTTTAAGCTGACCAATTAAGATAGCCAAATGAGTTAAGATCACAAAGCAAATCAGTAATTAACATATTAACATATTGTCTAACTTTAATCATCACTACTGAGTTATATTGCTAAATGGCACAGCCAAATTGTAATACCATCAAAAATATACACTCCCCTCTAAATGGGTGATACTCACGCACATGAGGAGAAATGGAGGCTGAAGCAATCCTACCATTTGCCCCAGCCACTCTCTCCTGCTTTACTGTTTTTACTATTTTTTTTCATGAGCAAGCTTTAATCCAACTCATTTTTCAGTGGCATATGCCAAGCCATGCAAATACTTGCACTGAAGGAAGGCTCAGTTACCACAGGACTGATTCAAGCTGCCAAAACTGAGGGGAAGAGCAGACTTCTGCTTTGGGGGCAGGAAACTGGCTGAAGTTATTCTGCAGCCCAGGAAAGCTGCAGTGCACGACTTCCCTCTCCATTTCTGTGGTCTACACAGGAGTATGAAAGGGGATGGAGTGAGATGGGAGTCAGTCTCTTATGCCAGGTAACAAGCAACAAGAGAGGAGGAAATAACCTCAAGTTGTACCTTGAAGTTTAGTTAGGGAAGGTTTAGATTGGATACTAGGAAAAATTTTGTCATTTCAAGTGTGGTCAAACATTGGAACAGGTTGCCCTGGGAAGTGGTAGAGTCAACTGCTCCTCAAGGTATTCAAATAATGTGTAAATGTGGTGCTTAGAGAGATAGTTCAGCAGCGGACTTGGCACCACTGGCTTAATGGTTGGACTCAATTATCTTTTCCAACTTTAAAGATTCTGTGATTCTGTAAGTGCCACTGTCCCTTTCTCTGCTCTTACAAAAGGTATCTACACTCATATGGAAAACAATCAATGAAAAAATAGTGAAGTCAATTAATTCAATGTGTTTCTTTGGCTTAAATAAACTATTAAATACCTAGTGTTCTATATTTGATCAGAACAATAAAATACTCAGGTTTACATTGTAAAATGTATTGATAAACAGAAAATGTATGCATTTGCATCCTTGAGACCCATAAGCATTTGCAGACATAATTTGCTCCATGCATTTTATAAATACCATGAAAGAGGAACATCTATGTGTAAAGCTTCTATTATCAAGAAATATTGGGAATACTAAATTTTTTCCACTTCTGAATGCATTTTTGATAGCTAGAAAAAGAAACTAAAGCAGCCTATACCAGCACTGAATTTTAAACAAGAGTAGAACAGAGGCTATACAGGCTCCACAGATAGTATCTGCTGACAAAGTAGTGAAATCACAGCCATTCAGTTGATACTCTAAATGAAATTGTATTAAAGTGTAATGGACAACACTTGGTACAACAATCAAATAGTAAATCCATTTCCAGCACTCTTATATGCCCTTTTTCTCTCCATTTGTCTTCCTTATTTAGATGTTGTTCTTCCCCCCAAATCTGCTCTGCATCTAAGGCTATCACCATTTCCCAGAATCATCACCTGTGGAGATTTTCACTCAAGAAAATTCCCATTCAGTGAACTGGTAACTAGTAGAATGAGCAACAGGGCTACTCACAAAATTTCTGCCATGCTGTCATATATGCTGTGATTCAGTAATTCACTTGTGCTGGTTATTTCATTATTTTTTGCTGGTGGAAAGCAAGGCTATATGGTTCTGACTATATTCAACTTACTGAGGTCATTAAATGCAGGGATTTTGATTTTAGTTTGTATTTTGACAGCTATCAGAAATTGGGAGCTTAAATTTACACACTAAGCAAAATGTACAGCCTTCCTTACAGGGCCCAAATGGAACGTCATTAAAGAAAAGGTCCAGTCTACTGTATTTACAGCCAAATTAATTGCCATCAGCATCCAGCAGATCTGGACTCTGCACTGGTCTAACTTTTTCTTTGTCTGGTAATAACAAACAGTAAGGAAAATTCTAGTAAACATGTAGAACATAGAGACGGCACCCATCAATTAAGTCTCTAATTAAAAAATAGTTGATATTTGTTATACAAATAAACAGATGCCTTCATCATTATTACTGTGGCACTGATCAAACTGGAAATTCATTAAGTAATTCATGAGATGGGGAGAAAGCCATCAGAATAATTTTAATACATCAGTGTAGTACATAAAGTCTGGTTTACTGAGCAACTGTATTTCCTGAATATGAAAAAAATGTTAGCTGTGCAAGAATTATTCCCTGGTATCCTTCCATTCACCTTAAGAATAGAATATTTCTCCCCATTGCTATGTTCATTTGGAAACATAGTTATTTAAAATGATGATGTTGGTATTTTTTTTCAAATGCCCAGATCCAGGTAAACAATTATTTGGAGAAAAAGTTTGAAACCTATTAGACTTGTACCTTGCTACAAAATGACCTTTAGTCCATGTCCCACAAAAGACCCCAGAAATAAGAAGTTAAGTAGTTATGCTTCCTTTATCCCTCTTATCCCCTGCATTTACTATTCTGGCATAAAATGTGGCTAGGCTTTATCTTTCATTTCGGTTTTTTAGTACTGGGGAAAAATAATTTGCACATAATGATGACAGAAAGTTTTTAGAATTAGTAGAGAGAATTCACCTTGAAAAAACTGAAAGGGGAAATGATATCTAAGAGAATCAACACTTTCAGAATGCTAATGGTGAGGTTTCACAGAATAGAAATACAGCAGTGCTGAAGGAAATGAGGCGAAGTTCATTTGAAGAAGATTATGTCACAAAAGCCAGAGGTGAATTTCATTCCATAATCATCTTCAATACATTTAACAGGTTGACAACAGGCATGTGAAATAGTATATATGCTGTCTTTAAATGCAATAATCCTTAAAGGTTTCAAATGAGACACACACTGCAGACAAAATCTTCTGCAGTAGTGCCCATTCAATATATAGTAGAAATTTAAAAAAACCTCAATAATCTGAATGTTATTGGGAATTTTCAGAATACTACATATTCAAGCATCCAGATTCTGCTACTCCCTCCATGCTGAACAGCATCGCGCCCTTTGAGGAATACAGCCATACTCCCAACCAGGATCCAGGCAGCAAATCTCACCCAGAATTAATCACAAACTGTTATCTAAGATTTGGGTAATGCAGTTTTAGGAGGAGAACTCCCTGGCTGCAAGGCTACTTTGTTCAGGGGTGCAACAGTGATATTCCAAGGAGGGCTGCCCACATGGCTCTGTGCCTTGGGTGAAACAGCCTAGCTCACCTGGCTTCCCAGGACTGTCCCTGCTCAGCTGTGACTTTAGGACAAC